TGCAACAACTTCCTCATTAGTCTTACTGTTCCACCTTTGCAGCAGCTTCTCAAGTGTCAACCTTCCTTTAAGATAACACTGTAGATCATGTCAAGCCTCAACTCAAAAGGAGAACAAAATTTAAAAAACAAAAAAGAACACAAACAAACCTAATGGAGAACTGAAGTTCTTCCAATGCTCCACAGTCTACAAGGCTGTGTCCCTTGTTACTTCTCTCGCTACCTCTTCTACCACTCTCCCCTTGCTCCATTCAGTACAGGCCTACTGGCCTTGCTAATTCTGGAACACTCTGGACATGCGGATCACTCTGAGTCCGGGCACTTACTGACTCCTCTATCTGGAATGTTCTCCCCTCACAGATCTCCTCCATGGCTCACACCTTCACTGTTTTCCTATTGATCAAATGTTACCTTTCCAATGAGATCTTCACCAATAACTTTATTTACAACTTAGTCTGGCTGGGGAGTGCAGCTCAGTGGGAAAGCACTTGCACAGAGCCCACTCGGCTTTGGATTCAATCCTCAGTACCAAAAAAATAAATAAACATGTAAATCTGCCCTCATTCTAGGCCTCCTTTACTTTCTTCTACCTAACACTAATTTACTGTCTATCTCCCCCTCAACAGATGGACAGCGTTTTTCTCTATTTTGTTCCAGAGGGTCTCTAAAAGATAGTAGAGACTTATGAAACATACACTGAAAAAACTGAATAAATCAGAAATTAGCACATAAAAAAACTAAGTCCTGAATCCTATTAAAATATTGAAAAGAAATTTAATTTCTCATATCCCTAAGTATCTAGATTTCTTTATCCCATGGAAGCTATTTATACTATGACCAGTTCCCTTCTTCATTTAAATCCAAATTTTATTACTTTTTAATCTAATGAGAAATAAAATACATCTTTTAATCTATGATTTCTTTAGAAATAGAATAAATACTAAACATCTAAGTAGCAAATAAGTCTATTTAATGTGTAAACATACAGATACCTGTTTATTTAATCCTTTATATAAAATAGCAACCCTGACTAAGACTAAGATACATTCTCTATTAAAGAAAAAAGGTCAGGACAAAACTTCTAAGGTCATCAGAAACAAAGAAAGTCTGCAAAACAGCAACATCCAAAATAGGGATATAGCTCAGCGACACAGGCACCTGCCTGTGAGTTTGATTCCCAGCACAAAAAAAAAAAAAAAACCTCAGACAGTAACAACCAAAAGCAGTAAGACAGGACAACTGGATGTAGTATGGTATCCAGATGGGAACCTGGAATTGCAAAAGGATATTAGGTAAAAACTAAGGAGATATGAATAAACTATGGACATTAGATAACAATAATATATCATACTGCTACAAATGTACTCATTGATATAATATGTTAATAGGGGAACTTTGTTATAACAGTACAGGAGAGTTCTGTACCATCTTTGTAACTTGTAAATTAAAACAATTCTAAAAAATAAAATTTATCATAAGGTGGAATTAAGGATAGATAGGTGGTCTAGTAACCATGATACTCATTTTTAGTGTAAAATCTAAGCAAATCAAAGAATATTATTCTCAAAACTTATAATCAATGTAAGCAAGGAATATATCATTAACAACTCCGTAATGCAAAATAAAAGAAAGACCCCTGCTATACATCAATCACAGTTCTGGTTCACCAATCATCAAGAGAGCTAGCAAAATAAAGATACAATAATTAGATTCACTTTGAAGAGTAGATCTTTTCCAGGGCCAAAGGTATACATATGGACATCACTTAGTAGTTTTTCCCACTTTCTGTTAAGTTCAGAAACAGGCTAAAGTCAAAATACAAAACTAGAGACAGAGACACAGAGAATAAGCATGAGAACAGTGGTTTAGCAAAGAAATAGAAGACTTAGATTCAAACTGACAGAAGCTGACAACTTAAACATAAAATCAATGACTAAGTCACCTATAAAAATGATTTTAAAAATGTAATGATATTAGACAAGATTAAATTAAACAAAGCCAAAATATAACTTTTAAAAGCAGAATAAAGTTTGGGTATCACTTTGAATTTTTTTAAAGTTAAGAAAAAAATTCAATACTACTTAATTATAATATACCTAGAAGAGTGAGAAATACTAGAATAATATATAGAAGAAATAATTTTTTAAAAAACAGTAAGTTTTAAGCTTATTGAGATCAAACAACATATTCATCTTTTTATTCTCCAGGGCGTCTGCACAAATATTATTCAACACACTTTTTTATATAAGTGATTCATTTATAACTAAATGTTGATTCTCTCTAAAAGAATTATCTAAAAGCAGAGAAACCAGCAATAGTTTTCTATAATTACAATATGACAGTAGAAGGAAAAACTTTATTTGGTTTTCAAAAGTTTCCAAGAAAACTAAGTTTAAATTTTTGAAACAATTTATGTTACTGAATACAAAACATCTTATGATGTTCCTAAAGGGCATCACAAAAATTTGACTTTTTTTTTTTTTTTTGGTCTTTTTGACACAAGGCCTCACTATGCAGTTCAGGCTGGCCTTGAGCTTATTCTGCAGCCAAGGCTCGCCTCAACCTCTCAACAATCCTCCTGCCTCAGCCTCCCGAGTGCTGATTGAAGTTTGATTTTTTAATACAAAATTTTTTAAGCAATAGCTTTCTGTACAACATCCCATTTTAAAAACATATTTATTAAGGCTAATTTTCTTTGCTCCTAGTATTTTTTATATATTGTGAAATGATTACTATAGTCAAGCTAATTAACACATCTATTATCTCACAGTTACCCTTTTTTCTATATGCAGTAAGAACACTTATAATCTATTCTCTCTGCTAACTTCAGGTATAATATGTAGTATTGCTAGCTAGAATCACCACACTGTACATTAGGTTTCCAGAAGTTACATTTATCTACATAAATGAAACTTTGTATCCCCTGACTAATGTGCCCCCATTTCCACCACTCCTTTTCACCCCTGGAAACAATCATTCCACTCGATGTATCTATGAATTCAACTGAAAATTATTTTTGAAAAAGTAGTATTCAATATACAAAAATTCTCTAGAAATTATAGAAACTTGGTCTATAGGACAAAAAAATTTCTATATTAAAATAAGTATAAACCGTAGAAAAATTTAGTGATTATGAAAAGTAGCAATTTCATTGCAAGTATAAATATCATTTATTATAATCACATGAGCTCTTATCAAACAAGTAATCTTTTAAAAAAGAAAAAAAAGGTTATAATGGAGTATTACTCAACTATAAAAAAGATAAACTCAAGGCTTTTACAGGTAAATGGATATAACTAGAGACCATACTCATAAGTGAAATAAATCAAACCCACATGTGTAAACATTGTGTTGTCTCCCTACTGCAAGAACCTGAAAGAGTAAATAAAACCCAAAAGGTATAATAGATCTTGTGAAAGGGGAAGAAATTGCTCAAAGGGAAGGAACAACTGGGATGAGGGAAAGGAAAAAAAGAAAGAATGAAGGAAGGGGATAAAAACATGTGTGTGTGTGTGTGTGTGTGTGTGTGTGTGTGTGTATGTAGAAGGATGGCTGGGACAACTGTACTGCTGATGTCTGCTGGTTTACTGAAAGGGACAGTTAATGCTTAAATTTTTTTTGAACAATTCTGCATGCTTATATCTGGTAATCTGAATAACTAATTTGAAGACAATATGCAATATAACAACTACTGGTAAATTCCTACCATCTTGTTTAGTGAAGCTCTGTATCGTTTCTAATGGTTTTTATATTATTTTTATTCTCTTTAATGGTTTGATCAATCTTGCAGTCTTACATCTGGTAATCTGAGCATCTTCGTTGAAAATCACAATATAACAACCACTGTTAATTCCTATCGTTTTGTTTTGAAACCCTGCATCATTTTTATTGTTTTTGTGTTGTTTTGTTTTTGTCTATGTTGTTGTTATTTTGATACTGGGTCTTTTTATTCTCTTTAAAAGAAAAAAAAAGAAAAAAACAGGCTAATACATCTATAAACCAAAATTCTGCTTAAGGATGAGTGAGGTGGATGGAATTCTTTCCACATAGCCTGCCAACCAGAAAATCTAAAACTATGTCTTATTTAATATCCATGGCCTTTTGAATATTCATAAAAAGATTTACTTTTCAAAGTTCTAAATGTCATTGTAACTTTTAAAACCAGGTTGTAATTCTCATGAGTTGCAAGAATGGAAGTTATATTTTAAAAACTAGTAAGTTCTACATTCCAACAAAAGCCTTACAAATTTTATTAGGTTCCAGAGAAAAGAACAAAGATGAAAACCAATACAAACTCCATACTGTTGGTCTTCAGAATATTTTATGTCACCACTTCTAAACTCTTACATAATATTGAATAATGTAATAATGGTGGCTAATAACATGATAAGACAACCTGAAAGAGTATTTTCTAAGTAGTAAGTTTATTTTCTTCTCATTTCTAAATTATTACATTTTTTTCCTAAATAAAATTATTGAGAAGAAACTTCATATCGGACAGCACTTCATCGTATTCCTCAAGAGTAATTCACAGGAAAAACAAAAGAATAAACCATAGGGCTAGGGTGCAAGTTAGCTATAGTGTTTATCTAGCATGGTCAAGGCCCTGGGTTTGATTCCTAAGACCGATGAAGTAAAATAAATCATAAAAGGTAAGAATTTTCATAAGATATTCAAGAGATTATTATTTGAAAGGGAAGCAATCTTACAAAATACTGGTAAGTTACATAAATCTCAAAAAATTAAAGCCAACTACACATTTTAATTATACATTCAATCTCAACAAATATGCAGCATTCTAACTTATTAACATATTCCCATAAAATTAAAATGAAATAAAATCACTGCTGCCTACCCTAAATGATATCTCAAATTACAAAGTGAAATTTAACATAAAAGCATTCTAACTAAGTTTTTACACACCACCAACACACTTGGGAACTCACTTGGGTAAATATGGATCTTCCCAACAGCAGCAGCAGTTTCTACAAAGTTATTTACCTTGTCCAGGTCTTGGAGTCACAGCTGCTCCAGCAGATGGCGGCTCCAACTCCTGTTGATTACAGTAATGTTACTACAGCGGCCTAATACAATAAGCAGTTCATAATAAAATGGCAGTAACATTACAGTCTTACCTTTGCTTTCTTTGAATCTGGATCAAATCTTTCAAGAATTAATTTAGCTGTCTTATAAGTTTCTTTTTCCATGACTTCTTCAAGCTAGAAAGAAAAATTTCCATAAATTATCATATTTTAAAACATACACACACTACTTACTTTTCTAAGTCCTATTCAGAAAGTACTCAAGTACCAGTCTTAAAATAAAGGGAACAAAAGCTTTCCTTCTTTTTTTTTCCTTAAATGCAGCACAAAATACATGCAGACAGAATGAAAGACTTCCTCCAATTAAATAATTAAAATCTAGATTTTAAAATGGCTTCTAACCTCTAATATGTTACTTGTATTTAACAGCTTTACTGCAAGGAAATACCAAATATTGCTAATTGTTTACATATAATGAGGAGAATAATTACATGCACCAACTTCAATAATGGAATGTGCAAAAATCTATCAGCCATCATTATTGGAAGTTATTAGACATGACAAGCAAATGACAGGCAATTCCTCAGATTTATTTCCTCATAGCACTTAATGCTATTAATTTAAAGAAGGTCGTTAGCCAAGAGCTTTACAAAATAAAATCTCTGTGCCAATTAAGTGCTGTCAGCATCGATTTTAGATTATTTATTAGCAGAAGCAATTAGCTTGCTGCAAATACAGTGAAAACACTAACTGGGAGAACAGCCATGGAATTTGCTCAAATGACTTTAAAAGCTAAATCCCTCCTCAGCCCGCAGCAACCTCACCCTGCCTTTTTTTTTTTAAACTTAGATTTAAACAACTTTAGAGGAAAAAACTGAGCACAGAATTTAAGTAGAAATTTTACTGAGTTCTAAGCTCACACTTGGATCTGTAATTAAAGCATTTTATTTACCACAACTCAAGTCACTTTATAGCTTAATACATGGGCTTAATTTTTAAAGTAATCACCAATAAAGTATGATTTTAGCAGTTATGGCCCAACATCAGAAAAAAATTTAAGTTAGTATAAGACAGTCATAGTTATGACAAGTATCTAATACGGAAGATAAAATGCTTTCGGAAAAATTGGAGCAGGACCTTTTCCTTCTCAGTGACCACTAATAACCACTTAGATTCATTAAATGTCATATTCATTCCAAAAGACACTTATTTTAAAATGTAACCCGGAGCACATTTATTGAGTTAAAACACAGCTAAAAATATTCTGCCACAATAGTAGTTAATAGATTCTTCATTAAACGCTCAACTCAACAATTAAGAAGCTAAGGGTTTAGATGAATGATTTATTAACCTCAGTTTAGTGAAATGGAAGTGTTTTCCTAATTATTTCAAATTTATGATAACTTCTCAAGACAAGCAAGTTGGATTATCTAATAAAAGAGAAATGTTTGTAATTTCAGAGTTTGGAAAAAACTAGGAGTGGAGGTAGAGAGAAGGTGTAACATATAATCTATATGGAATACCCAAGAACTACATCTCTGACCTCTGCAAATTCAATTTTTGGTGTTTTAAACCAGCACTGTCCAGTAGAACTTTATATAATGATGGTAATGGGTCTATACTGCCATGACAGAAATCATTGAGACACATATGATAAGTAAACACTTAAAATATTGTTTGTGTGACTGAGAAACTAAGTTTCTAGTTTTGTTTCCCTTTAAATAATGTAAATTTAAATAGTCATGTAGTGCTAGTGGTTACTGATTTAGACAGCACAGGTCTACTATTTAGCTTAAAAAGAAGAGCTACAATTGTAACCTTTAAAATAACATACAAGGCTGGGGAGATAGCTCAGCGGCACAGCGCCTACCTGGCAAGAGCAAGGTCCTGAGTTCGATTTCTGGCATCAAAAATTTTAAAAATTAAAATAACATATAAAACTTGGAAGCAAAACACTACTTCAATAAATGACTGCAACTCCTAGTACATTATTCATTGAGTATTCATGTGTGTGTTCTTATGTTTTAGTTATTTATCTTATAAAATCATTTTTTAAAAGTACTAAAAGGTACAAATTCATGCTCATTTTCCTTTGCAGTTATGTCTAACAAAAAGATTCTCATAATAGCTTACTTCACACATTTATCCACGTTTTAAATGAATAGTATGTTTTAAATACAGGATCAAAAGAAAGAACATGGAATTGAAATTATAAAATCTGAAGCGATCTGGGTTCATGGGCTGGGGATGTAATTCAGTGAAATTCAATCTCTAGTGGGGGGGTAGTGGGGAGTGTGAGTTAAAGCTTATTTCTATTCTTAGAAATACTGAGCAAGTTTATTTGCCTGTTGTTAGCCTTGGTTTCTCCTCTTGTAAGAAATATACGGAAATACTTTCTTCACAGCAGCAGTCTAGAATTTAACTAATGTAGGAGAAAGAGTCCACAACAGTGAATAAAACACTGACACAAAATTTTCAGCGATACTTCTATTATTCAGAATGGATCTGAAACAGTGTTTCTAAATACCCTACCGATTAATCCAAGAATTCAGAAATTAAAAATAGGAATTTGTGAGAATTCCTTAAGTCATTGAATTACTATCCTATACTTTGCATAATATACTTTAAACATAATGAGTGGTATTATAAAAAGTGAATCTCTCTGTGATAAGGTTTTACTAAAAGTTTCATGGGCTTTTTTATTTAAAAAGATAAAATAATTGGGTGTGGTAAAGCATGCCTGTAGTTTCAGCTATTCAGAAAGCTGAAACATAAGCATCCTCTTGAGCTTAAGAGTTCAAGGCTAGCCAGAACAAAAGCAGGGAGACTCCCACATCTAAGTAATTAATTAAAGAATAAAAATACCTGTTTATTATGAATCAACATTACTATGTCAAGATTATATTCAACAACATGTAAAAATAATTTCTATCTGATATAGTCATTTTATCACAGAAAACATTAAAAGAAGAAAACACTGGTTCAGTATGGTGTCACACACTTGTAATCCCAGCACTCTGGGAGACTAAAGCACGAGAATCATTAGTTTGAGGCCTCCCTGAGCAACTGAGCAATTTAGTAACACCTTCTCTCAAAATAAAGAAGTTTAAAGGGCTCAAGATGTATCTCAACACAAAGGCCCTGGACTCAATCCCCAGCAACAAAAGGCAGCGGGTGGGGGAGCCTAGTATAAGATAAATGGCAAAGGAATTTTTTAAACTGTAAAACATGATTCTACAAATGTCTAATACTGACATTACCATTCTAAAAAGAATTAAGAATTAAAATGTATTGTGTATATGCCCCACACTAGGTGTAGTCAGGTACTACAAACACGTACTACTAGCAAATGAAAATTTTAAAACACACAAAGCATTAATTGCTCAACCTAGTATACTTTAGTTCATAAAAAAATGCCAGATATAGAAAGCTTTCTTCCACTTTTCATTACCTTCAGTCAAATTACTGAGAGTGGATCCAAAAGCATCTTCAGTTAGAGTATTAGAGAACATTCTATTACATAAACTATTATGATGATGAAGAAAATATTGTCTGCTCTACTTTTGTTCTACTGTTGAAATTTATGTTTTTATTAGTTCAGATTTTAAATCATTTTCTGATTTCTAAGAGTATTGCACATGCTTTTTTATGCATTTCTTCTGTTAATATGTAGCCTATAGTGAATATTTAAACACTGGAAAACATCAGAAAATATTACTTGGCAGTATACAACTATAATTTGAAACTTCTAGTGAAGTTAACAACCCTACAAAGAAACAGATGCTAATACGACCAATTAATTTATGGACTTATTTTTGCTTCCAAAACTTATTTCATGGAGTATCATTCATAACATTTACTTAAATCATACTATATTAAACATATTAGTATTTATTTGCGAGAATGACTTGAAAACCAAAATAAAGGGGGGCGGGGGGCGCTGGGGAGTTAGCTCAGTGGCACAGCACCTGCCCGGCAAGCGCAAGCTCGTGAGTTCAATCCCCGATACCGGAAAAAAAACAAACAAAAGAATGACTTGCCATTAGTAAGAGACAGGGACACAAAAGCATGCTTACAGCGTGGCCAGAAAAGCCATACTGATTAGACTGTGCCACTTCTACGTGTCTCTGTCCGGCACCCAGAAATGCTGGCATTACCCTGTAGCTCAGCACGTAAGAATTTCTTGCTCTTGCTTTCAACTAACACTTACAGATTCTCTTGAATCAGTAACATCTGTAGCTGATTAATGAATTTTAATTCTCAGAGAATTGTAACATTTTTCCCATGTTCCCAATTTCTCAGGAACATATATTTCCTGAGAAGTGCCAGGAATTACCAAATAGAAACACTATTCTGGAAAAATGAAGCCATTTAAAGAGGTAATTTTAACTCCTACACTTTAAGTCTTGACTTTGAATTGGTTTAAAAGAATAACCACAGATGCAGAGGGATTATCTACTACTGTACAGATTATACAGTGATTAAAATTAAAAACGAAAAAATAAATTTAAAGAGCCACAAAATACTTAAGTGGCAAAATATACATGTCCAAACTTGGGAATTTCTAGATGACTAAAGATTAATTCCTAGCTTTATTTTCACAAGTAAATATTTACATTAAGCTCTTAACGTGTAAACAAGATGCTATTCCTTTTCCTTTCCAAGTAATGTAACTTTTTAACCAACTGGTAATTCATATTCATCACTACAAATTACACTTTTATAAATTTCAAATTAAATTACAATCCTATCCAGATTAAAGAGATGAATCCCTAAGGAAATCGAAATTAGTAAAATACGAAGTAGAAAATACAAGTTGTATTAATTTTGTTAACAAAAGAAAAGTGATGAGACACAGATAACTAGATTGATAACCATTATTTAAACCTAAATATCAGTGAACAAAGTAATTTTGATTATATTTAGCTATTGCCCAAAAATAATATCCCCCTCCAAAAAAAAATTCCTCTTTTGCCTCTCACTACTAGCAGGATCATCAGCACTGAGCAGCTTCCTAATTCACCCTTAACACCTATTGTTCCAAATGCGGAAAGCTACTCCAGCAAAGCAGTGCTGTTAAGGCTTGAACAATAAAAACCAAGGACTAACTCCCAACAGCCAGAGTATTATAACCAGTAACAATCAAGCAAATAAAAATTACCTTCTCTAATTAATAAAGTAAAGCCAAGTTATCTTCCTTTAGTCATATCACAAGAGAAATGCCACACTGAGCTATTCTGTAATACTGATATACACAGTTATGAACCACTGAACTGAATTTCCCAACTGCCATCAGATGTAGTATTTTTTATGTCATAATTCCCTCAAGGGCAATTGAAGTAGCAAATACTGTAAAGTTCGGCTTTCACAGAATTTTTCAAGTCTGCTTTGTTACTCTACAAAATTTTTGCCAATCACACATTCTTCAAGATTCTGTTTTCTGGTCATAGGATATTACTGACATAATGCTGCTTTTCATCCCTTAGGATTTTGTTTGTTCTGTTTTTGGGGGTTTTTTTTTTGTCTTTCTCCTTGTTTTTTCTACAGTGGTGTCCCTTTATCCATGAGATATGTATTTCAAGACTCCTACTAAATATGTGAAACTTCAGAAAGTACCAAACACATTACCTATAATAATTTATTCCATAAATTAACAAATTAACAGTATTAACTAATATACAATTTAAAGATCATAACATACGATAATAAAAATGAACTTAAAACTTATGAATTGCTTACTTCTGGAAGTTCTCATTAAATTTTTTGGCTTTGGTTTTGAGATGAGGATCTCAGTATGTTGCCCAGACTCGTCTCAAACTCATGGGCTCAAGCAGTCTTTCTGCCTCAGTCTCTCAAGTAGCTGGGACTACAGGCATTTACCACCACACCTGCCTCATTTCATTATTTCTGTACCACAGGTGACTACATAACAAACTATGGAAAGCAAAACTGCAGGTTAGAAGGGAATGTTTTCATCATTACCTTTCAGTTTGTTCTAGCAGGGTTTGGTTCTCATTACTACCCTCAGCACTTCTTTTTGTTTCATCAGCAAGCCAACCAACCTACCACAACTCCTATATCAGTGAAAGTCAGTATTTTTGTGCTTGAATTTCTCAAATGGCAAAAATAAATAAGATATAATTAATATACTTCTTTGTTTTAACATCAAAATTGTCAAGGCAGTTTTGACAAATACCTCACAAAACACAGAAGAGGCATCAAATAAACAAACATACATAAGGAATCCTTCATTATTAAAAAGTTCCTTTACTTTTCAGGTACTTAAAGCACTGAAGATCAGTGTCTTTTATTATCTACTCATAGAACAATTTTTAACATTAATCTTAATCTTCATCATTTTCCTTAGTTCCATACATTATTATTATGGTTCTATAATTTGGATCTGGCATTAAAGTTTGGTTACCAACTTATGCAGGTAGTGGAACCTTCAGGAGATAGAGACAAGTAGAAAGAAGTTAGGTTGCTAGAAGCACGCCCTTGAAGAAAATACTGGAAACCCAGCCTGTTGCTCTCCTCTTTGCCTCTCAGCTGCCATGAGGTAAAGAGACCTCCACCACCACAAGTTTCCATGATGATGTGCTGTGCTACCACAGGCCCAAAGCAACAGGGCTAAGCAATCATAGACAAACTATGAGCCAAGTAAACCTTCCCTCCTTATAAATTATCTCAGATATTTTATCAAAATGATGAAAAGCTAGCAAATACAACTTACTACACTCTAGCTAAAAATGCACTGATCATTGAACCAATTAAACTTGATTTAATAAGTTTCCATATAACATGATAGTACTATTAGCAACTATTTTCATACTTTAAAAACAATCATAATTTTTTAAATATAAGACCACCAACTCAAGCACCAAGACCAGCTCACTATCACGTATCAATCTCTAAACACCTTCCTCTGACTCTTCAACCTCTCTTCAATACGCAGAAAGGATGCCTTTAACTGGCCTGATACAGCCAGCCCTGTGATCAGTGTTACTGGTAGAAAGTGGGAGATGGTGAAGAAGAAAATTCTCTTACCCTCCTGCTATAGCTTTTAATGCTGAATTTGTCTCTTACAACCAATCTTCTTGATTCTCTATCTCGAACTTACTGTATCAAGAAAATTTAAGATCTGACATATGTAGATATTTGGTCCATAACACCTAATAAACAATCTAATAAACAATCTGGGTACCCACCATTTTACTCTGTGCCTCATTTAGTTCTCCAATATGATTTATTTAATTCCAGCTGACACAGATTCCCAGACTTTCAGAAATCCATCTAAACTACATTTCCTTGCCAGTAATTATTAACTAATAAAAATATTCATAATTTAACTTTATCATTAAAATACTATTTAAAAGCATATTTGTTACTTGGGAAGTCATTAAGTTATAGCACAGAAACATTAATTACCCAGTTAACTTAGTAGTTTATATAAATTAACTTTAAGCAAAATTTAACTTAGAGCCAGGTGAGGTGGTGCAAAGCCTGTAATCCCAGCACTTGGGAGGCTGAGGCAGGAGGATCGTTGTGAGTTCGAGACCAGCCTGGGCTGACAAAGTGAGCTCAAGGCCAGTCAGAACTGCATAGTGAGACCCTGTCTCAAAAAGACAGACAGATAGATAGATAGATAGATAGATAGATAGATACATAGATACATAGATACATAGATACATAGATAGATAAATAAATAAGTAAAAGTTAACTTACTATTTTTTTCTTCTGGGATTTTAAGTCATCCAATGCTTCATCTACAAAACAAGATTTAAAATGAGGTTAAATCAGATATTAAGATACTTATGTAAGGAAAAAAATCATGCCAAATGATATATATAAAGAAAACTTCCTCATTTCAGGATTTCTCTAAAAATGCTTAGTGACAAAATTGTCTCAGTCATATCCCCAGCTTTTTTTTTTTTTTTTTTCGAGACAGATCTCACAAAGTCACTAAACTGTCCAGGTAGGACTCAAATTTTTAATTCTCCTGCCTTAGCCTCTCAGAGTACTATTAATGACAGGAAAGTGCACTATGTCTAGTTATTTATTATCTGATATATATTTATTTTTTGCCTTTGATATATACGACAAGCCACTTAGAAATGGACTTTTTGTAGTGTTATGGCTTATACCTAGATGTTCCCCCAAAATCTCATGTAGTCACAGGTGGGGCTCTTCAGAGGTGGGTGATCTAGGGGGCGTGATTCTTGGATCAAGGATGTGATGTTGGGACTGACTCACGGTGCAATGCTAGGAATAAGGCTGCCCCACCCTGCATGTGAGTGCCACCTGCCCGAAGGGTAGATAACCTGGATAGAGTATAAGGAAAAGGCAATGACTGTGTGTCACCTGTCCCCTATGAACTGTTTCTCCTCTGCGACGTCTTTCTGCCATGCTGTCCTGCCTTGGAACCAGTCAACTATGAATTGAAACCTCTACAAACTGTAAGCCAAAATAAACCTTTCCTCCTTTAACTTTGGGTGTTGGGTATTTTGTCTTAGCAAAAAAGATTAACTAGACATATAGCATAAAATATCTTTCAAATTTAAAGCTGTATGTATTCACACATATATTAAATATTCTCAGAACTGCTTCCTAGTATTTCTCTCTGAACACTCCACCCACATTAATTTACAAAATTAACACCAAATCTATCTTTATACATTGGTAACAAAAATGTTGTATCTTTGTTTATTAAAACGAGAAGCACAGAAGATATTTAATAACATTAGTCAACATCCCAGGTACTGAGCACTAACAAAGTCTTCATTATTATGCTGGAGGAGGGACTTGGAAAGGAATATTAGTTGTTTCTAAGATTAGCCTGCTTATTTGGGAGGGAATGATGAAACAAAGAATCAATTCAAAGGCTATTACTTAATAACGTTAATGTCTACTTTATAAATTTATTTAGGTTTCCAGTTTTTCTCTAGAAACATTTAACTAGTAACAAATAGGAATACTAGGCTACATAGAAAGAAAGAATTATGACTGGATTTAAACATTTTATCATAAGAATTTAAATAACTGTTCTGAATTTTTAGTTAAATATGTAAATAATGTTACTTCACTGAAACTCTAGCAAAACTCTGAACACTTAATTCAAAGTATACTATGTATATAAAATTTCAAAGAAACACATACTTATAAAAAGATGATTTTACTGTATAATTTTGTTTCTAAAATATTAAGTACTTTTTCATATCCCAGTATATTTATTACTAAAGAAGAAGCAAAGCTGCTGATACCTTTAAAGAGAATTCTTTAAATTAAAGACTAAGGCAAACATCTATCCTTTAATCCATATATCAGAACTTTTCCTTAAACATTCATATAACATATTTTAGGCTCTATAGGACAAACAGTAAAATTGGGTCTGTTAAAAAAAAACAAGACAAAAAACGTTCACAAGCATTTTACTGAAAATATTAAAATATAATAATATTTAGTTCAACTTTTTATAATATAGATCTACCTATTAATTGGAATTGGACAGAAAGTAATTTTTCACAGAACTGAAGTTCAAAGCTACTATTCTCTATCATCATAATTGATTGCAAATTTTTATCTCTTTGAGCCAGGTGTGGTGGCACATGCCTGTAATCCCAGCACTCAAGAGGTTGAGGCAGGAGGATCGCCATGAGATTGAGGCCAGCCTGCACTACACAGTGAGTTCAAGGCCAATCTGAACTGCATAGCAAGACACTATTTCAAAAGAAAAAAAAAGTCTCTCTCTTAATGAGATTTTATGAAATTTTTAAATGTTTTTATATAGATACTACCAAATATTGATATCCATGAGCCTTTGATTTTAATGAGCATATTCATCACTTAGAAAGCATTTATAAAGTGTTTCATTCTAGAAAGTATTACAGAAGTCTGCTAGATTCTTTTGATATGTGCATTTTAGCATGTCATATTTCAAATTAATCACTTCCAATCAAAGATTAGAAGATCCTCAATTATACAATTTAAGTAGTTTTAAAAATATGGAAATTTCCTTTACACTCAAATTAAGATCAGAAAAATACCACTGAAACTATAATTGGAGCTCAGATAATGCATCTGTCGCTGCAAAAATACATGCGAATGAAGATCCCACATATGTGCTATTGAGTAACACAATGAATAAACACAGAACTTAAACATATTACACTTTCATGAGCTTTGTAAATGTGTCCAGTTCTTGTTTTAACTTTTCATTTTTTAAAATTACTTTCTGTCATTGCAATGGTATTTATTTCATAAATGACTTTACCACAGTGTGTTTAGCAAGTACACATAGTTGTGCCTTGTGATCTTAGCCTGTATTCACTAAGATCCAGTATCAAGTCTGCATTAAAAGCTAATTTCCAAGGCCAGTCAGTGTTCAAACACAGTATGTGAAAGTGGTTCTTCTTATTTACAAACTGTTGCATGGCAGAACAAGTGAAGATATCTATTTCTGATAAAAATTTGCCTGACAATGGTAAAGTCTATGACAGTAAATGAACTACTGATCCAATAACAAGATGATAGATATTTTAATGTAGAGAAGTAATTCCTACAGTAGAGAAATAAGTAATGCCTCCAACTTTGGAAGTTGTGCTATTCTCTACGTTAAAGTATCTGCTACTGAGTAACACAACCAATAAACACAGAATTTGGCTTTGCAAGTATGTCCAGTTAAGCCTTTTTTTCCCTTTAAGCATATTTTTTATGACAGTGTTTGTTTCAGTGTCTTTGAGACAGGGTCTTGCTATGTAGTTCAGGCTGGTCTTGAACTCACTATATAGCCCAGGGTGGCCTCGAAGTCTAGGTGATCCTCCTGTCTCATAAAACCAGTATTTATACACATCCAGATTCCACTTCAGGTTAAATAAATTAGTGTCTTCTGAATTTCTGTGAAAATAATCTCACCTAAAAATTGTTCCTCACAGAAGTTTTACAGACAATAATTCTCCGAACACTTCAAGCTCAGAGGTGACTCCTCAATAAATTACACATGAACAAGAATAGTAGTATCTGCTAAGTCATCAAGAAGGAAGATCATTCTGACATCTTTTGCCTCATTTTAAATTGGCTAGGCTGCTTTGAACTTTCTTAATTCTCCAAGCAATTGTTCTTGCTGAAGGGTTACTAATCTTAAACAAGCATATTTTCTCTCAACACATTTCTTCTGCTGCTATAATCCAACACAATTTAATTAACTCACCATTGGTAAATGGTTTTCCTTATGTCACAAACAAGCTACTTAGACTCTTACTTTGGCTGAAGCCCCATTTTCACTTTTTATTTTCATGAAGAAATTCTGCAGTGATGAGATATTCCATCATTTAAATTTTCCTCTTCTTTTTTCTTTCTCTCTTTTTTTGAGACAGGGTCTCAGCATAGAGTCTAAACTAGATCTTGAACTCAATATGTAGCCCTATGCTGCCCTCAAATTCTTGGTGATTCCCCTGCCTCGACCTCCCTCCTGCTGGGATTACAAGCATATGCTACCACACCGGGTTTAAATTTTCTAATTTTATGACCACTGCTTTTCTGTGAGTTAAAAGAGTATCACAATGAGTACTTAGTACAGTAATATCAACATATACTGTACTCTTTTAGCACAGTACATATTCTGTACTCTCTTAAACACCTCTTTGCATTTTGATAACAAAATAATCCATGTTGCATTGTGTCCTAAAAGTGCAACATTCAAAGTCTATTTTTCTTGTTTTTATATAATGAGTATTCACTGATAGTAAAAATAAACATTGTCACAATAAAACAATATACATGGCACTTAAAATGCTGTCAAGTTGTAACTGTATCACTGTGATTTGTGGTAGAACAGTCTGAAATGAGACATGATTTGTCCTCCAATAGTCTGATGTGGTGAGAATACCACATACAGTATTATCACAAATATAGAACTCTGCCATTACAGAATGAAAGCAGTTACAGACAACACACAAATGTGTATCCGGGCTGTGTTCCAATAAGAAGTTAAATTCAAATTTCAAAAGAACTTAACTAAATATTATGATTCTTTTCAATTACTTCAATGATTTTAAAATGATAACAACCATTTTTACAAACTGAACACAGTGGTTGACAGAACGTGGTTCACAGGCTGGAATTTGCAAATCCCTGCTTTAATCTATGCTGGGTACAATTTGAACTAAAACTAATAGAGAGCAAGAAGCAAGGACATAATCAATAATCTCATGATTAAAAACACATATATATACACCTGATTTTATTCTTTTAAAATGTGGAAGGCTGCAAGACAATCTTTTATAAAATTTATTTTAAGTATACATCTAATGCCTATTTAAGTGTATTAGTAAAATTTTAAAAATAAAAGACTGAAATAAATTTTTAAAGCAAAAAAAAATCCTGGGGGAAAACAAACAAAAAAATCTCTTTTATGTAACCACCTCATCCAACTTTACTGTTTATAACTTAAAATATTCATACATTGTAATTTCCTTAATGTATTCCTCAGGACCCTTTTGAAATAAAGTTTTTACAGTATATCTTTTACTATTTTGTTATTTCTGGAAGTCAAAGAATATACTTGTTTTAAACTACTTCCTCTTGCCATCTACTGTGTCATTAAATTTCACTGAAAACAATAAAATTAATTTGTTTAGATTGCTAAAAATTATCATTTTTTAAAACCAGAGGAAATATCATAGTAAAATATTAAAGCTCTCCTACTGAAATCCAAAGGTACCTATTATTTCCACTTCAAGCAAATATTATGCTGGGTCCTAACTCATTTAAAGCAAGAAAAAAATACAAGAATAAAGACTTCAAAAGAATCAGTACAGTCATCTCACATTTGTATAACACGGTTTTGCAGTTTTTACATACTTTCACATACAGCTAGATTGAAAACTTTAACAATCCTATTAAAGTAAACATTTCTGATCTCATTTTATAAATTAAGAACCTGAGTTTCTGAGAACCTCAGGACAAAAAGATGGCCAGTATGGCTGAAACAAAAATGAAAAAAGAAGAGTAGAAAATTAAGTCACAGAAAAGGATATAAAACAGAAACAGTAAGAATTCAGATTTTATTCTGGTTACAAAAGGAAGTTAGAGAACGTTAAGCAAAAGAGACAAGACATCACATTACAGTAAGCACCCGTACCCATGTTTATAGTAGCACAATTCATAATAGCTAAATCTTTGACACAGCCTGTATGCTCATCAACAGAAGAATAAAGAAAATATGGAATTTATACACAAAGGAGTATTACTCTACTATAAAGAAAGATGAAGGAGTCATTTGTAAGAAAACAGATGAGACTGTAATTATGAAATAAGTAAGACATACAAGCTTAACTATCTCGATTTCTCTTATATAGAAATTCAATGGAGAAATATAGAGCAAAATAGGAAGGAGGGAGATACATCTTTCTCCAATGGGAAGGAGATCAAGAGATCATAGTGGAGCCAAGCATGGTGGCACACACCTGTAATCCAGCCCTGGGGAGGCTGAGACAGGAGGATCGTTGTGAGTTTGAGACCAGCCTGGGCTACAAAGTGAGCTCAAGGACAGCCTGAAATGCTTAGCGAGACCGTGTCTCAGACAGAGAGAGAAAGAGATCAGGAAGGGGAGAAAGGAGGAAAGCGGATGATAAAAGGAATTAAGATATGTTATACACATTATCAACTCTACACAAAGAATATAAACAAACTATGAACATATATTAATTAAAAAAATTTTAAATTAAAAAAACAGATGTATACCTTAAATATAGACTACTTTTTAAAAAAGACAATGGGTTAATGGAAGCAAGAGATGATAATGGCAAATAAGAACTGTAGTAGATAAGGAGAGAAATGGTCAGATTTAAGATAATTTCAAGGTAAGGGTGATACGAAGTAATTCAAATAAGGGTTTTAAAATATAGAGTCCACTAAAAAATGTATACACACTTCAGCAGTTCACCATACTAATAAATGTCTAGAAGCTAATGGCTACCACTTTGAACACCTCTTATAATTGTAGAAGCCAAAGGTAACTTGTACTAATCTCACAATGTCTCCATAAATTTAGTATTAAAATATTTTACTCAAGTTTTTCTTTTCCTGATTTATACATTGTTGGCAGACTCAGTATGTGAAATACGAATATATGAATAAGTAAATGAATGTGAAAGAATAAAGAATGACTCCCAGATTTTTAGTCTTGTGATAATTTTATGTTAATCTGACTGGGCTACAGGTTATCCAGATATTTGGTCAAATACAAACCTACATATCTGTGAGGGTGTTCTGAGGTGAGAAGAACATTTGAACTGATAAACTGAGTGAAGGAGATTGCCCTCCCTAACAAGTAATCCACATCTACTCAGTTGGATAGAACAAAAAGGCTGATCCTCCCACAAGTAAGAAAAAACTCTTCATGCTTAACTGCCTTGAGTTGGGATATCCATCTTTTTGTCTTTTGACTCAAACTGAAACTTTATCTCTTCCTGGGTCTTGAGCCTACTAGCTTTCATACCAGAACTTATACCACTGGTGATCTTAGTTCTCAGAATCAGACTGGAATTAAAACATTAGCCCTCCTGAGTCACCAGTTTGCTAACTGCAGATACACAGACAGACAGACAGACAGACAGATGCTAGATACATAAACAGATATCTTTTATTGGTTTTGTATCTCTAGAGAACCCTGTTGAATACAGATATTAACAATTAGTTGTATCTGTAGTCGTGGCGGAGTGGTTAAGGCGATGGACTAGAACAATTAGTTGTATAGTTTACATATTTACTGATATGGGGAAGACACAGAGATGAGCAGATAGAGGAAAATGGGAATAAAAGGGAGAACCAAGAATAACTCTGCTTTGGTTATTATAAGTATGAGGTGCTCACTGAACTCCCAAGTGGAAATGTCAACTACAGAGTTAGGTACACATATCTGTAGCTGAAGGGGAGAGTCTAAGGCAGGGACTTAGATTTGAGAGTCATTAACAAAAACATGATGCTGTATTTAAACCCGTGGGAGTGAATAGTATCACCTAGAGATGTATTATCCAGTATTATGGCCATTAGTCACATAGGACAATTTAAATTTAAACTAAATTAAATTTAAAATTCAGTTCTTCAGTTGCATTAGCCACAGTTCAAGTGCTTATAGCCACAAATAACTGGCAGATACTATACTGGACAATAAACATAGATTACTTTTATATCATAGAAGCACAAATCTAAATCATCAAAAGGAGAAAGCCAAGGGCAGAATTACAGTAGAGGAGATACAAATAAAACTAAAACAGTGAAATGTTATCAAAGACACTTAATGATGCAAACATTTCAAGGAAGAGTAGATAAGTGAATTAATTCAAATACTATTAAGAAATCAAGTTGATGTTTATAGCAGCACAATTTATAATAGCTAAATCTTAGAAACAATCCAAATAACAATTGAGGAATGAATGGATAAAAAAGATGTGATGATTTTGTACAATGGACTACTACTCAGCTGTAAAGATAAACTCGAGGCTTTTATAGGTAAATGGATGAAACCACAGACCATACTCAAGTGGAATAAATCAGACTTGCATATGTAAACACTGTATTGTCTTCCTGGTGTGAGAAGAGTAAATAAGGTCCAAAATGTACAACAGATATTGTGAAATGGAAAGAAATTGTTCAAAAGGAAAAAGGAACTAGGATGGCAGAGGGGGGAAATGAAGGAAGGAAAAAGGAAAAAACAAAATGCATGATAGTTATGCTTCTAGTTTCTCTTAGTTCATTGAAAAGAAAGGTTTGTGGTAGTATCGTTTGGAGAATTTTTTATGCCCATATTTTGTACTCTGATTAATTAAAGATAACAATACTCAATGTATTAATTATTGTTATTCTCCTAGTATTTTGTTATGAAATTTTGTTTTAATTTTTTCCACAAAAAGAAAGAAAAGAAAATTTTAAAAAAGAAGTCAAGTTGTTTAAGAAAAGAGAAATGGTTTGAACAACATGGATCAAAACATTAGTGACCCTGAAATAAGCCACTGCAAATAAAAAGTGGTAGAAATAAAACCTAAATAAAGTAGACTGAGAAGAAATGAGTAGAAGGGAAAGACATACCAACTACAGACGAATTTTTAGAAAATTTTATACTTTGAAAAAGAGAAATGGGGTATAGCATAAAAGAAATAGGTCAGAATAGGTCACTACACCCTGCCCATGGTTGTACTATGGCAGGATTATAGGTCAGTACAAATAACCCAATAGGAACAGATGCAAAAAGAAGATAACTGCAAAAGGAAAGTTCTTCAGATGGTCACAGTACCTAGAAATCCAGAGCATAAATGAATATTAGCTATAGCTGGGATCAAGGGATCTTCCAAAAGACCATGAAAAACAAAACATACTTCAAAGCTTATGTCAAACCTACAGGCTGCAGTTAGGAGATGTCTGTGAAAGCAGAAGAAGGGTTATGATTGATTAAAAGTTACATTTTTAATTTGTGTTTTTTTCTGTCCTTTATGTCAAACATTTGGTACTGAAGGTAGTTCTCATCTATTTGCATCTATTTTCTGTATAAAGTAAGACTATTAGTTAAGAATGGATATATTTTGTAGGGGTTTATTGGTTTGTTATTTTTTATGTGGTTGTTTGGTTTTTGCTAGGGAAACAGGTATTAATGATTTAAGGGAATATACAGTATCAATAATGCTCTTTTTAAATTTTTCTTTATTATTTTAAAGAGAAAACAAAAACAACAAAAATAAAACAGAAAAACTATAAAAATGATACAAAATTATAAAACAAGATGATAGGAAATCAACAATAGTTGTTGTATTACTTATTGTTATCTTTAAAGTAGTTGCTCAGGTTACCAGATATAGGCATGCAAGATTGATCAAACAATTAAACATTAACTGCTGCTTTCAATAAATCAATAGAAATTAGTAGTACAATTATCTTGGCTATCCTGTCTACATATATTTTTTCCCTTCCTTCTTTCTTTTCTCCTTTCCCTCTTCCCAGTTGTTCTTTCCTTTTCAGCAGTCTCTTTCCCTTTCCCAATATCTATTGTACATTTCAGTTTTTATTTACTCTTTGAGGTTCTTAATGTCAGTAATCCCAGCACTCAAGAGGCTTGAGGCAGGGAGAGCACAGTAAATTCAAGGCCAGCCTGGGCTACATAGTGAGTTCAGCCCAGCCTGAACTATGACAAGACCTTGTCTCAAAAAAAAAAAAGGACAGAAAAAAACACAAATTAAAAATGTAACTTTTAATCAATCATAACCCTTCTTCTGCTTTCACAGACATCTCCTAACTGCAGCCTGTAGGTTGGACGCTCCTGGCTTGCTTGGGCTACAATGAATAAAGAAGAATCATTTTGGGTCACATACGAAATATATAATATAGCTGAATAGTTGATGCATGTATGTAACAAAACTTCCTTTTCTTTCACAATTTTTATCACAGGCATAGCGAAAAATGCTTCAATATTTAGTACACACCATTACAATATACCATTTCACAATCTGCCTTATAAACAAGCACACTTAAAATACTTTAAAATATATTTATAAAAACTTGAAACTTAAACTTACTATTTCTTTCCGTTCTCTTGGAAAAGAAGAAAATAAGCACTGTTCTTATGCTCCAGATGCTAAATAGAATCAAAATTCAAAAACAAAAACCATCATTAGGATAGGTTCTCTAGAAGTCATATTACATGAAAATAAATATACATTTCTACATTTCTAGAGTTAGGTATACTGTTTCCCTTTATACATCAAAAATAAAAAAGCACTGCTTTCCTTCAGAGAATATGAGAAGTTTGAGCTTAAAAAGGAGTTCTCAAACTAAAATTCATAGACTTTCTGGAGGGCCCCCTTAACTGCAGAATTGTCTTTGTTGTACATGAGCACATTTCTCTAGAGAAACTATTGCTTTCATGAATTTCAAAGGGGGGGGTCTATGAGCCCCCTAAAAGATTAAGAACTAGTAGAGAATACCTCCTAAGTAAGTATCAACTCCAAAAACTTTTCTTATCTATTTCCATGCATGAAGGGGAAGCATGTTTGGGTTCAGTTTTCTTTGCATAATCCTAGGAATCATAAATCCTGCCAAAGCCAGTTGTTTTGCCACCTCCAAAATGGGTTCTGAATTCAAATAAAAAGGTATCATCTGGTATAATCTCATACATTTTCTTTTACAAATGTAACTGCACTATACAAATGTAAGTTGCTAGTCCTTCCCTGCTATCTCACATTGGAGGGAGGCTTCTCTAGTCAATAAAATGTTATCTGGGAAAAGAAACAAAACAACCCTTACCTTCACAGAAATACTTTGCAAGAAAGTTCAGCTAAATATCTCCCTCTAAGATTGTCAGGAAAATAATTTTTATTCAGTTTATGGGTACATTTTAGACATACGTAATGATCATATTCATCACAGGGAATTTGTACCTGTACATGATATATTTTGATTCCTTTTTCACCAATCCCGCCTCCTCCCTTCAACCCATCCTCCTCTCCCTATTTACGAAGCTTTGTTTCCATTTCATCCTTTTTTTAAATCATTTTTTTCCTTTTTCCTTCCTTCCTTTCCCCCTTCCCCTACCCTAGTTCTTCTTTGCTTCTCAACAATTTCTTCCCATTTCACAATATCTATTGTACATTTTGATCCTTATTTACTCTTTCAGTTTATGAAAATAATTATTTAGGCCATGTATTAGTAAGATATCAAATGCTACTGAATTAAAAGAAACAAAAATACTACACAAACTTGTCAAGGTTCTCTCTCAAATGTAAATATAACAAAGTATTTCTTCCTCCATAAAACATCACAGAATATACAAATATCACTCACACTTTTAAATAAAAATACATTTTTTTTCTGGATATAAATTGAGAATATAAGTATGAAAATTAGTTATTCACTTTAAAATACAGTGTTGCTCCTTCAGGGTGTCAGTGTACAAGGGGGTTACTAGTGACTCCTTACTTAGATCTTTGTGTAGTACTCTCTCACCAATGTTAGTATCTCTGGCCAAGATATATGACGGAAGTGACAGTATACTGCTTTTTAGACAAAACTATAAAAGACTGGAGCTTCCACTTGAGGCCTCCTCTTTCCCTTCTCTCTCTTAGCTTATGCACTCTGAGAGAAGCCAGCTGCCATGACATGACAACAGAGAAATCCATGGAGAGTCCGTGTCTTTGGAAGATACCCAGCCAAGAATGGAAGCCTACTAACAACTGAGTCAGCATGGATCTGTCCAAGTGTCCACTTAAAATTAGATTCAAGTAAACCTAGCCAAAATGTATGATTACATCACATGTTATCTTTTTATTTGAATTCAGAACCCATTTCAGAGGTGGCAAAACAACTGGCTTTGGCAGGATTTATGATTCCTAGGATTATGTGAAGAAAACTGAACCCAAACATAGACTTACAAGACATGCCCTGATGAAAAAGACCTCAAGGAAAGACAACAGTATGAGGACATGTTAGTGTGGCAAAAAAGAAAAGAAGTGACTAGCAGTAGGATAACAAAAGAAAAGGGTTCTGCAATGACTATCTACAGTGACTGTGCAAATTTAGTTAAGGCTTAGAAAGACTACATAGCCCAAGCCAACAAATTAATTACAATTTATGTAAGAATAAACGACTCAGACAGAATCACCCAGCTATGTGCTATCGACATTCCTATGCTTCAGGAACTGTGAAACATAATAAACATTTGTTGTTTTAAGCTATTAAGTTCTGGGACAATTTGTTATATAGTAATAGATAACTAATATACATTTTTTACACTGTGATGCTCTATTTTTATGATATGGAAACATCAAATAACTAGCAACAGATTCCTACATGACACTTATGCAACTACCTAAATGGTTAAAAAACAAAAACTAAACAAACAAAAACATGGCCCTTAGCAAGGGAAAAAAAGAGGGAAGAAATTAAGCACAGTGCTCATAACCCTCAAGGAGCCTACAATAGTGTAAAGGTCCCATCATAAAGGAGTTCCACCTTATTCACAGGGGATACGTTCCAAGACACCCATTCACACAAGTGGATGCCTCGAACCACTGATCCACAAACCCTATGTACACTGTGACTTTTCCTACATGATCTGCAGCCTTGCCAAAGAGTTCCAGTGTTAGTCTGTCCTTTCATGTACATGTTCTGGTGCCACTTTTTTGTCACTACTCTTACCCCTTGAGGCCATTATTAAGTAACATAATGGTTACTTGAACACAGAGACTGTAATACTTCAACATTCTGACAACCAGAAAAGCTATTAAGTGACTAATGGGCTCATACCAAGTACAGCATGGATATGCTGGACAAAGGAATGAACCTCATCCTGGGCAGGGATGACCTTCAACCTAGGTGGCATGGCCTGAGATTTCATCACACAAGTCAGATCAACATGCAATTTAAAACTTACTTCTGGAATTTTCTATTTAATATTTTCAAACAGGATGATCAGAGGTAACCAAAACCAAGATTTAAAAAAAAAAACAAAAAAAACCACAGATAAGGAAGAACTACTTCTCTATGACAAATATACTGAAATAATATCAATCTGAGAAAGAAAATTTAGAAAGAGTACAGAGAAAGAAAATGGAGAAGAGGAGGAATTGCAGAGATAGTGAATGGAATTCTGTAGGCTACCAGTAAACTGTTTGAAATGAGTAGATACTTCTTTAAAAGCATGTATAATTTTCAAAACACAAAAACTATGAGAATTGAAATATATTCCCTTCGGGGCTGCAGATTTAGCTCAGCGACAAAGCACCTGCCTGGCAAGCACAAGGTCGTCAGTTCGATGCCCAGTATTGGGGGGGGGGGGAAGAGAGAAAAGAAAAGAAATATATTCCCTTCAAAATTAACTAGTCCCCCTTGTGAACAAACTTTTCTTCTGGTTTTTATGTGAACTACTCCTGGGAAAATGAGCTATCAATACTCTTTTCTATGTGTCAACTTATTATATAAAGAATTTGTTATTCTGTTGTTTCTTATGCTTTAGGACTAAATCAAATTATCTTGTATTTTTAAAATAAAATTTAAAAAATAATAGCAATTTAGGAACCTATGTTACAGTTATCCCAACAAAGGTCTCATTTTCTCAAAAATTAAACATAATTTATAAAACACAGCAAACTGGGAATATAATGAGATACTACTAACTCCTTGTTTAAGAACAGTGGCATCATCTCTATTTCCCCTCTATCCCTTCATAGAACTCAGCCAAATATGGAGAACAAAAATAAAAATGCGCGGCTGGGGATTTAGCTCAGCGGCAAAGCACCTGCCTGGCAAGCGCAAGATCGTGAGTTCGGTTCCCGGTACCGGAGAAAAACCAAAAACCAAAAACCAAAAACCAAAAAAAAAAAAGAACTCAGCCAAATATGGAGAACAAAAATAAAAATGCGGGGCTGGGGATTTAGCTCAGCGGCAAAGCGCCTGCCTGGCAAGCGCAAGGTCGTGAGTTCGGTTCCCAGTACCGGAGAAAAACCAAAAACCAAAAAAAAAAAACCAAAGCAAAAATAAAAATGCAAACTCCTTTCCTGGTAAAACTGAGGTAGAGCTAAAATTCAATCTTCAAAATATGTGAAAGGCCTCTTATAATGCAGATCAGACAGGGACTCAGAAGAATAAAGTAGAAAAGGAAAACTGCATGAATACATATCAAGGTAAACCTTTCCAAGTATAATGCCTAAAAGCCATATTTATAACAAGGAGAGTAAGTAAGATACATAGCTACAGACAGAATTCCTTAAATTCTTTGTTTCCCAAAAAGGAAACAAAGATTGAAGAGAAATTATCTAAAAATGTTCTATTTGCAAAGAGCATTCTGTTTCTATGGTAGAAGGGGAAGAAAAAATGGGTTTTCATTGTGAGAAAATATAGTTGCCTTACCTCACTGGCTAGGGAAAGATAATAGCCAAATAAACTTAAACTTTTGACTTTAAGGAAAATTCTAGTTAGCTTGAGACATAGCAGGATATTTCTTTAAACCAACACAAATCTCCTACAAATAACTAGCCCAAAGTAAACACACTACAGGGTATGAGTTTTGTGGGATGTTTTAAAACAAATTTTTTCTAAAAAACCTATGTTTCAAAACTTAGACCAACTTCTGTTGTATCAGTAAAGTGATATAAACTTCCCAGAGTTCAAGAAAAAAAAAAGATGTTCAGACTCTATAAGGTAAACTGACCTCTAATACTAAGTGTTTTTTAAAGTAACTGTACACTAGGAAATCTTTATATAGTTAAAAAGAATATGCTTCATGCTTCCTTTCCAATAAATGCTGCTCAGACAACTGGGCATTTAGAGTAAATTTTTTTAAAAAATGAAGCTCAACCTGAATGACATTCCTAAATTAACTCAAAATGGTTTATAAACCTAAATGTAAAAAGCAAACAAAAAAATTAAAGACATACTGTACAGAAAAGCAGAAGAAAATCATTAGGACTTACATGTAGGCAAGAGGTTCTGAGTCTTAAGAAGAAAAACACAAGGGATAAAAAGAAAAGCTGAAAAACTGCATCTCATCAAAATTACAAACACTTCAGCTGAATGCAGTAGCACATGCATGAAATGCCAGTACTCTGGGAGGATAAGGCAGGAGAATCACAAGTTCAAGCC